GGACTTCAACACCCAGAATTCTTCAGCCAGCACAGCTGTCAAGGGGATTCTGGGAGTTGTAGTCCACAAGTCCACAAGTTTTCAAGGTTGGACACCCCTGTTCTAAAGGATCCATCAATTTCTTGGTTCTATCTTATGAATGGAATCAGAAATGCAGTCTAGGATTTCTTGCACTGCATTTGCCAATTATTTTCAGCACACAACATTTACCCACTTTAAAAAAAAAACATCCTGAAATATCTGCAGGGTATAAATGGGGATAAAGAGAATCCTGATCATGGACAGATGGTCCTCAACTTACAACCAGTCGCTTAGCGACTGTTTGAAGTTACAACAGTCCTTCTCAGAGCTACTTACAGCCCAATTTTGAACAGTTTCAACAGCCATTCTCCTCCACAGTCCTTAATCACATAATTTTGGACAGTTGGAAACCCACCCACAATCACAGCTGTTTACTAGAATAGAATAGAATAGAATAGAATAGAATAGAATAGAATAGAATAGAATAGAATAGAATAGAATAGAATAGAATAGAATAGAATAGAAAAGAATAGAATCAGAGTCAGAGTCAGAGTCAGAGTCAGAGTCAGAATCAGAATCAGAATCAGAATCAGAATCAGAATCAGAATCAGAATCAGAATCAGAGTCAGAGTCAGAGTCAGAGTCAGAGTCAAAATAGAAGCAGAATAGAAGCAGAACAGAATAGAAACAGAATAGAATAGAATAGAAGTAGAGTAGAAGCAGAATAGAATAGAAGCAGAATGGAATAGAATAGAAACAGAGTAGAGTAGAGTAGAGTAGAGTAGAGTAGAGTAGAGTAGAATAGAATAGGAGAGGAGAGGAGAGGAGAGGAGAGGAGAGGAGAGGAGAGGAGAAGAGAAGAGAAGAGAAGAGAAGAGAAGAGAAGAGAAGAGAAGAGAAGAGAAGAGAAGAGGGTAGGGTAGGGTAGGGTAGGGTAGGGTAGGGTAGGGTAGGGTAGGGAACAGAACTTCTGAGTGAGATGCCAAGCGAATGAATTTTGCTCATGTGTCCTTGGGGATGCTGCAACAATCGTTAAGAGTGAAAACAGTCATAAGTCACTATTTTTCAGTGCTGTTGTAACTTCAAACGGTCACTCAAAGGAACTGTTGTCAGTCACGGATTATCTGCATGTTATTTCCTCTGTTTCTAAAACGGAGAACAAACCTTGTTGCACATTTAGCGATATGAAGCTTCCAGAATCCAGATTTTGTTTGGCTCAATTCCACCCCTTCCCCCCTCCCCTTTGTGAATATATCACTGATTATTGCAAAGTTCATTTTAATAAAGCAGGCAGATAAATATAATTGCTCTCATCACACAGCAAAATACTGCAATCAGAATCAGGGGGAAAAGATCAAAACATCCTGAACTTTCCAGAATGCCTAATGACAATCTGAATTAAGAATGTCTTATTTAACGGGCAAAAGAATCTGTGAATACGTCACAAATCAATAAACTGCCACTATTTATCTATCTCCATGGCTGCAGCTTGAAATCTGTAGAGGATGGCGTTATCCTCCTAACTTCCTACCCAGCATCATCTAATAAAGACACTTAAGCCCGATTACAAATTAGCTAATGGGATGGGAAGGAAAGGGAAAAAGAAAGCTCTTGATTCTATTCCACTGGTTTTTGTTTTTTTATTATTCTAGATCAGGGGTCTCCAACCTTAGCTAGTTGAAGACTTGTGGACTTCAACTCCCACAATTCCCTGGGCTGACTGTGAGTTGAAGTCCACACGTCTTAAAGTTACTGAGTTTGGAGGCCCCATTCTAGATCAAGGATGTCCAACCTTGGCAACTTTAAGTCTTGTGGACTTCAACTCCCAGAATTCTCCAGCGAAATGACGATCACGTGACCTTTAGATATTGCAACTATTGTACATACTTGCTGGTTGCTAAGTGCCTGAATTTTGATCATGTGATCATGTGGACACAATAGTCATAAGTGTGAATACAGGTCAAAACTTACTTTTTTCAGTACTGTTATAACTTCCAATAGAAATGAAGTTCTATCTTGGTTACAGATCTCACCCCAAGGAAGAACTGATTGTATAATCACAGACATCTACTTACCTGTTTTGTTCATCTACCTACCTGCCATCCATCCATCCTTCCGTCCATCCTTTCTTCCTTCCATCCATTGTTCCCATCCATCCATCCGTCCATCCATCTACCCATTATCCATCCAGCACTTACATTCACTCTTTCCCTCTTTGTTACTTACTATTTCCAGTATAATTTAAATTATTATCCCTCTTATTTTAATACCCTTCAACTGCCTAGAGTCCATAAAAATTAGAGCCATAGATAAATTGTAAGAATACATAAATAAGTCTAGTGTGCCAAACAAACAGGCTTGAAACCTAGAGAAAAGAATTTGCTCCACGTTGCTCTTTGCTTATGTGTAAACTGTGTGTTGCAGACTCATAAACAACCACATATTGTTTTCAATGTGTTAAGATGGAGAGATAATGTTTATTTCAGTCAGTGACCAGATAAAACAGAATGAATATAAATTAAATTCAGTAAAGAAAGAAACCAAACTGTCTACATAGCCCTCAGAAAAGGGTTGTGTTGAGATGTGCACTTAGGCACCCAGGAAAAGGATCCCACCCAGCTGGTTTTACAGATCCATATCTCTGGAGATATATATATCCATATATATCCATATCTCTACAGTTCCAACTCCCTGACCTTTGACCTACCAAAGATCAAGTCCAATGTTCCATTTCTTTCAGCGAACCATCAAAAAACTGGGGGTGAGCCAAAAAGTTGGCTGTCAGTGCAACATTGCTGACAGCCATTTCTCCGTTACAGAGATACACTATGTGTCTTCATTCAACTAGATGTTGGCTTCATTGAGCAGAACAAAACAGAACAGAACAATAGAGTTGGAAGGGACTTTGGAGGTCTTCTCAACCCCTGCTCAAGCAGGAGACCTTATAACATTTTAGACACATGGCTGTCCAGTTTCTTCTTAAAAGCCTCCAATTGATGGAGCATCTACAACTTCTGAAAGTAAGCCATTTCACAGGTTGGTTGTTCTAACTCTCAGGAAATTCCTCCCCAGTTTTAGGTTGCTCTTCTCCCAGTTTAGTTACCATCCATTGCTTCTTGTCTTGCCTTCAGGTGCTTTGGAAAATACGTTGAACCCACCCTTCTTTGTGGCAACCCCTCAAATATTGGAACACTGCTATTGTGTCACCATAGTCCTTCTTTTCTCTAGACTAGCCTTCCGAAGAAGGAAAAAGTGCTGAAGCACACATCTGATATAGTGGCAACACAAATGTGAACCATTTGTATACATTCAACATCCTCATTAAGGTTTTTATGTCATCTCCCTGGTTTTCCTCCCAAGACACTATTTACATCCTCAGGATTCATCCATAGCCATGATTCATCTCTACAGGTATCTTTCAAGCTCATCCAATCTATTCTGATATCCACCTGAGCATTTGAAGGATGGGACAATTAGATTTTAAGCAGCAGCGGGAGATCCATTCACACCCTGTCTTTCTTTAAGGACACCATAACAAACTTTTGAAAGAGTGCCGTGCCAACCATCTCATGTGCCATTTTCTCATTCTTCTTGAAGGCAGCAAAATTTCAATGCTTTGCAAAATTGCTTTCAAAGGAGACAAGCAGGTCAGTGAAATGTCTAATGTGATGGATGTGAGGCTACAATATAATCCTTTATATTAGTTGTCGTCAGGGGATGTGCATACGTCTTCTTCCTTTCACTACATAACCATCTCTCCTGACAGTTTTCTGGTTTCTTAAGCTTCTACAGTATTCCAGTATTTCTCAACCTTAGAGCTTTAAGCTGTGTGGACTTCAACTCCCAGAATTCTCCAGCCAGCAACCTGGGAATGAAAATCCATATAGCTTAAAGTTGAGAAACACAGTTCTATTTGATTCCAGGAATAGGGGGATATTTTTTTAAGGAAAGTTGAAACTGTTAGTATATTTTCTTGACTTTCAGATTTTTTGCAAGGTAATAATGGGTCCAAGGTTAACAGCTTCAAACAAGACTGAAAATAGAGCAATGTTTCTAGTTCAAAGCTAGTTCAAGATAAGCCAACAATGTTGATTAGCGACAGAGGTTTAAAGGGTGGCAGAAAATATATGTCAGATCTAGCCAGGATGCCATGACTTTTAGAGATATATAGCAAACTAGTTGGGCTGCCAACAAACTTCAAGTTCATTAGGGTCAGCGAGCAACACTTTGTGCAAATCTACAATTATAAAGTATCAAAAGAAAATTAAGAAACAAAGGATAAAGTAAAATTTTATGCATTGGATGGATCTAAGTGCAAACCTAAGATACTAAAAAGAGAATGGGTTGTCAATAAAATGTTCTCAGGGTATGAAAACTTTAGAAGCTAAAAGATAGAAGCTGAGGTTGTGGAAACTCCAATTCTTTCTCTGAGCAGAGCCAGCACTGATCAATTCTGATGATTAGATCTTGGTAACTTTGGACAATGATGTCTAGTAGATGTCTAAGATGTCTTCTTCCCAAGCAGCTGAGTAATTCCTCCATTTTTAACCTTTGGGCTTTCTGCTCTACAATGACAATGTTTCTACAGGACAGATGGTCAGAACTTTGGAGTTGAGTTCAAATGTCAAGACTATCCAGAATTAGGAGCAATGGCACTTTTTCGAGCCTCACCAATAGGTCTAGTCGACGCTCAGGTTTACCTGCTATCTCACCTTGTCCTCAAGATCCAACTAAGATTACAGGTACCAACGACGAAGGCTGCCTTATGTCCTGACTAGATGTCCCAATGGAGGAACATCTGTTTTTTGTTGTACACTTTGTCCATTACAGCACATTTTGAAAACTGCAAAGATTTATTAATTGCACCCGGCAGCTGTTGCTCCTCTTAATTTAACTTGTCTCCCATCTTTTTAATGCGCATAATCTTCCTTTTAATGGGTCTCAATGTGTTAATTGGTTCCTCTTTGTACTTTTCACAGGTGATCTGAGGCCAGTTTCTATGTCAACAGAATACAGCTGGATAGGAGATTCAAAAGAGCCAAACATGTACAAGAGGGGTAGTCGTGGTGAGTGTGTTTCTCACCCAATACAGTCAAATAAAAGACATGAAAAGGACTCTTATTTTCTTCAAAGTAGCCCATCATTTCTGGTGAAGCAAACAATCCAAGTTCATCATGTCATTTTTCTTGTGCATTTATTAGCATGGTGTTGTATCATTACAAACCATCTTTTAGATGCCAGGACCATCTCAATACTCTAGTTTTGATCCAACTCACTCAACATGGTAACTTGAAAGGCTATTTCCACGATAAAGGGGAATATTTGTAGCTCAGGGTTGAAATGAGAGGTCCTTGAGCTTGGTTGTTTTAACAGATTAACAGATTAACAGAGTTAGAAGGCACTTTGTAGGTTATCTAGTCCAACCCTCACCTAAGCAGGAGACCCTACACCATATCTCACAGAAGGCTGTCCAGTCTCTTCTTGAAAACCTCCAGTGATGAAGCTCTCACAATTTCTGAAGGCAAGCTGTTCCACTGGTTGATTCCTCTCACTGTCAGAAAATTACTTCTTGAATTTCTCCTTGTTCAGTTTCCATCCATTATTCCTTGTCTGGCCTTCAGATGCTTTGGAAAATAGCTTGACCCCCTTCCTCCTCTCTGTGGCAGCCCTTCAAATATTGGAAGACTGCTATCATGTTTCCCCTGGTCCTTCTCTTCACTAGAGCAGCCACGCCCATGTTTTCCTGCAGATATTTCATTACCCAAACTAGGTAACATGATGCTACACAGTTTGCATAATGAAACATTTGCAAGAAAACAACCAAGCACAGAGAGCACCAAGGAGCCCTCAGGCTATTTTTCAGCTAGAGGAATAAAGGGATGGCTGTATTTTTCTGATTTGTATGTAATTGGTTTTATTGACCTGCCAGCAAATTTCTGCAAATGAAAATCACATTTCTTTTTCTTCACATTTATTTTCATACATGTGTACATTTTGCATTTCTCCTTCCACAATATGCACATATTTGTAAGCAATTTCCTAAAATATATGGAAAGGTAGATTCCACAGATGTTTTTAGACATGCACAGAATCTGATGAATATGTGGATTGTGAAATAAATCTTCTTCCAGGGGAGACTGAAAAATGGGGATTTGATGAATTTACTTAAAATAAGAGTCCTGACATATTTCTCTGACATCCCTAGCTCATAAACACTGACAAAGAAATGAGACAAGGTAACTAATGAAAAGTGTCCAATATTCTATTCTCTCCTGCATTTTGTTGCTTCTGTATATACCACTTCTAATTTAATTTTCTTGAACTTGTTCAGAAGTTGTGTCCATCATCTTAAATTCATGGTAGCCTTTAGATGAGATGAAGTTCAGTAGTGGTTCGTGGATGAAATTATGAAGTTTTGGAGACGTTCAGTAATAAGCACTCAAGACTTTCAGTAATAAGCAATCAATCTATCTATCCTGCTGTCATTTCTCCAAGAAAAGTTCTGAAGTCATATTTTGTAATCATCATGCTCTCAGGATTCCAGCAATCACTCTAATTAAATCATGATTCTGGAGCCAAACTTCAAAAAACTTCAAAGGATTCATTAGAGGCGACATACTGGCACTGCCCTGTATGAAGCCAACTCTGGCATACGTAATTTACAATCACCTGTGACCCTGTTTCCCCCCCCCCCAGCTGTCTCATAAACCAGATTCTCCAATTGAGCATGTTCACAGACTGGGTGTCATCATTGACGTTCTCCAATTAAATATATTCACGGGCAAAGCTCTGGTATTTTAGTTGCAATCTTTTAAAGATAAGAGTTGGAATGTACTTTTGCTTTCAAACTGCTGCACTGCTCTTCCAGATCTCCTTCCTCCACCCATCCACCCTTTTTTTTTTATGGAGACTACTAAAAAGGCATAGGAATGTTTTATGAGTTGACATATGTGCTAAAAAGTTAGAGTTTTTTAAATGGATTGGGTTGCTCAAAACATACAGGTCTAGATATGATGCTCCCTTGAGCAAACTCTAGTGATTTATCCACCATCTGATACCAATTTGACTAAGGTTTCTTCATCACATTTAAGCCCCCTCTTCACTTCTTACCACACCTAAAATCTCCCCAGGAAATTGGCATTGGCTCTGCCTGCTTTTGAAATATAGCTTTCAATTTGTGCTCCAAAGCATGTGTTGATCCCCAAGCCAACTTAAATTGGGTTTCTATGCCAAAAAACCATGGCTAGTTTGAACTATGGTGTCCTGGAGACAATCCATCTAGCACCATGACTCATGAAGCCTGCTTGCTTCTATCCAATTTGAGCTTCTGATCTCTTCGTAGACACTCCACTAGAAAAGAGAACTTACAAGTCCAGGGGGAAGGAGGCCAGTTAGCACATTTTTCTCTGAATCAGCATAAGGACAAAGATGTGGGTCTCCTCTTTACTTCTCACTTTCCCCTTTTTCTCCTTCCTCGCTCTGACAAAAGATTCTGAGAACTCGCTCCTACGATACCTGAGTGATGACAAGATCTTAGTCATCCAAGAAGAACCATTGACCCAAAAAGATAACAAGCGTGATACAGGCCGGCGGTCCAGGAAGAAGGGCAAGAACAGTGGAAGTCCTAACTATCCTGTTAGCTCCTCCGTGATGACCTCATCTACTAATGTACGGCTTGAACCCGGACAACAGGATGTCCTAAATTTCTCCTTAGCAGAAAGCAACACCGTCCCCCTCTATCACGTAAGCTCTTTGATGCTTTACCTTAAAACTAAGAAAAACATTCTGTCTTCTTAATGTTGACCTTGAGTTTCAGGGACCACTATTTGATAGAAGTGATTTGTACTGTCTTCTTCTTTGATTTTTTTTTTCCAACTGTAGTCTTGTGATATCTCAGTGGTCTCAGGTCCTATTCTACTTGTTGTTAGCTTTGGAAGCCATATTGAGATCCGATGCTTCCACACTGCCACAGTTGAGTTTGGGAAAGTCGGAGGGGGGAATTCATTGGAGTAATTCTAGTTAGAAATAATAACATTCTTTTTCTGATTCAAGGTCATGTTGTTTTGCGCATAAGTGAAAGGAAGTCTTAACTTGGGATGTATGGTGACTGGGCCATGTGATGTGATGATGGGTGCAGGGGATGGATTTTGTACTTTTTACTTATCATAAGGAAGCCTGAAACTTTCAAATTCAGGATTCCACAGTTGTGCCAGTTACTATCCAAATAAAAGGAACTTTTGAGAAGATGTCTGTCTTGGAGTTATTGGCTGGAATGGAGGTTTGCTGGAATGCTGACACTTGGTTTTGTTTTGTTTTGTTTTGTTTCAAGACTACTTGGGCACTGATAACCTCTGTGACAAAACTGAGATTAGGAAGGTAGAAAGCATTTGTTATTATCATTAGGATTACTAATACCATTACTCCTATTTGTTACAGTTGTCCTAACTGTTTGACATACAGTTAGGTCCTTGACATACAGTTGGATCCTTAAAACAAATTGTGTTCCTTTACGAATTGCTTTCCAAATGTTGTACACCTCTCCTCTTTTAATACTAAGTGTGTATCCTACGACTTCATGCCAACCTGAAATTTGCTGAGCTGAACGCCAGTTCAACCATCATTGTTTGTGTGTGTTTTATATCAATTCCAGGTAGGTGTTTTCACTGATTTTTATCGTGAGATCAAAGTTTGTTTTAGTTTAAGTGGCTGTATGCTGTTTCTCGAGAGGAAGATTACATTATGGTCTCAGATAATTTACTTTTGAAATGAGAAGTTTGTTTGGATTAATTGAGAACGAAGTAAATTAGGAGGGAAACTGAGTATTGAATCTGAAGCAAATACTTGGAAATATGCTAAATGTTTGCAGTAAGTAGCAAATATCTATAGCTTGAGTGTAGGATGAGGGCAAAGGTTCATTCTCAGGGCTTGTGGGTTGGTTTCAGAACATTTTGTTACCAGGCTAAGTAACATCTTTGCAGTCACTTTTTCCAGGATTATTTCTTCTTCTTTTTTTCATTTTATTTACAGTATATGTTTTTCTTTTACATAAAATAAGTGCTTAATGAACAGCGCACTGTCTGTGTCAGTTGCTTATGTAATAATACTTTTTTGAATCCTAATTTCTAACTCTATTATCCAATCATGGATAAAACAAGCCCCATGCTCGATAATAGCGATAGCACTTAGACTTATATACCGCTTTACAGTGCTTTACAAGCCCTCTCTAAGCAGTTTACAGAATCAGCATATTGGCCCCAACAATTTGGGTCCTCATTTTGCCCACTTCGGAAGGATGGAAGGCTGAGTCAACCTTGCGCCTGTTGGGTTTTGAACTGCCAAATTGTAGGCAGCTGGCTGTAGCAGAAGTAGCTTGCAGTACTGCACTCTAACCACTGCACCACAGAGGCTCCTATAATAACAATACCCCGTATCTTCCTTTTCTTTTATCCTCTATGTTAGTCTGTCCATTTCTGCACTGTCTAGTTTTAATTATATCTTCTGCTGTGGGTGTTTTCTTGTTCTTCCAGTATTGTGTTTATATAATTCTCACTGCTGTCAAGACATGTAATATCAAATATACATTCCCTTTATCATATTTTTCTGGCATTATGCCTAGCAAAAATAATTCAAAGATTTCAAAGGATTGTTAAACAAATGACCATAAGTCAAGAGCTACCTGTAAATTATTGGCACTGATACAGGTTAAGCAGAACTGTGACGGTGAGTTGGCTGTTTACCTAGATGGCAGCTACTAAGGGAAATGTCAGCTTAAAAGGTCTCTCTATTCCAGAAGAATTTCTTTTCTTTTTTTTTTTCCCCTTGGTTTTTGTTCACTGTTTGGAAATTACTGTTTTCATTACAGAGCCAGTAAGATATGTACTCCAGGTAACCAAACCTGGAGAATAACATAATGGATAAATGCACCAAGGGAATAAAATCTAGCTGTGGGTTTTTATAAGTGGCCATTGAGAGCATTTGGAAAATCAGAGCATTTCGCTTATATGGGAAGAAAGTCTAAAATAGCAATTTAGCTAGGCACGCTGCGCAGAATGTCTAAAATCCATTTTTAGTGTGAATTCCATGGAGCTACGATATTGTAGTTTGATACTCCCTCCAACCAATAGCCATAACCAAGTTAGATCTATGTGGATGCAGCTCTGGAGTACATTTTCTTTTTATAATGTGCGCCAATGGAACAAGCAGATGTATTTCCCCAGATTAATGAGTGAAAAATTTCCATGCCAATCTTCCGCCTTTTTTCATTTCTGTCTGCTCTGATTAGAGCCCGTTGTGTTTCTTTAAACTGCTTCCTATCAACTTGATGAAAACGTGTGTCAATTTCGATTCCAGAGCTTCCCAAGATGCATACAACATACAGACAGACATACACCACTATAGACAGGCATAATCTGAGTTGTATCCTTCAAAGGACACAACTCAGTTCATTTAATGACTGTTGAAAGTTACAATGGCGCTGATAAAAGTGACTTATAACCAATTCTTGCCCTTACAACCATTGCAGCATCCCCAGCATGTGATCAAAATTCAGACATTTGGCAACTGACTTGTATTTATGACGGTTGCAGCATCCCGAGGTCATGTGATCAGCTTTTGTGACCTTCTGACACGCAAAGTCAATGGGGAAGCCAGATTTAGTTCACAACTGTATTACTAACAATTGCAATGATTCACTTAACAGCTGTGGAAGGAAAGGTCATAAAATGGGGCAAAATTCACTTAATCACTGTCTTGCTTAGCAACAGAAATGGTGGGCTCCATTGTGGGTCATAAGTCTGTAAAGATTTGGTGGTTGCTCTGATTTGAGCACTCGAGAAAGGACAACAGAAATGGTCAGAGGATTGGAAATCAAAGTTGCACTAGGAAAAAAACTGAGAAAGCAGGGAACTTCCACCTGCATTTCATTTCATGAGCCTGAAGTCTACACAGTAGTCTTTCTATAGAAAGCCAAATGGGTTGCTGAATGTCCAGTCACAGGTAAAGGTAAAGATTCCCCTCACACCTGCAGGCTAGTCATTTCCGGCTCTAGTGGGCGGTGCTCATCTCCGTTACAAAGCCGAAGAGCCAGCGCTGTCCGAAGACGTCTCCATGGTCATGTGGCCGGCAGGACTAAACGCTGAAGGCGCACGGAACTCTGTTATCTTCCCACCCAAGTGGTCCCTATTTTTCTACTTGCATTTTTACACACTTTCGAACTGCTAGGTTGGCAGAAGCTGGAACAAGTAACAGGAGCTCACTCCGTTAGGCGGTGCTCGGGATTCCAACCGCTGAACTTCTTGTGGTTCGCCGGCAGCAGTTGCGGACGGCTGAGGTCTCAGAGAGTGAGGACTCAGATAAGGGGCATTTATTGACATTTTGAAGAAGCATTCATGCAGACCGCAAGTCATTTTCTCTTTGATGTAGAACATACTTTTAAAGTCCGAACATCATGGAATGCCGCAAGGTTATTTCAAGAGCGGCATGCTTATCGTACCAACATCAGCAGGAAGATTCAATCAATGAAATTTCACACACACCGACATAAAATCCAATAGAGCGGCCATTAACTTGATTCCTAACCAAGCCAACTGACTTATGGCTCAGTATGATATGGCCGCCACATCTCCAGCTTGTTCAGCAAACAATTCCTTAAACACAACATTGTGAGCATTGGTAGGTTGAGATTCATTTAAAAAGATGCCTGTAACTTATTATTCCCCTCTCCGGATGAGTTCATACAAGCTGTGAGATTCAAGATGCATGTTTTGTGAACTCATCATCACGGCTTGTAAAACCTTAGGAAGACCACTAAGATTGAAATACTGTATCCTTTTTTTTTGGTCAAAAAAGATGTTGAGACTCTGGGGGAAAAATGCAGAGAAGACAACAAAGGGGCCTAGAGCGTAAAATACATGAAGAACTGAACTGGTTATGGCTAGTCTAGTGAAGAGAAGGACCAGGGGAGACATGATAGCGGTGTTCCAATATCTCAAGGGCTGCCCCAAAGAAGAGGGAGTCAAGCTATTCCCCAAAGCATCTAAAGGCAGCACAAGAAGCAATGGGTGGAAACTGATCAAGGAGAGAAGCAACTTGGAACTAAGGAGAAATTTCTTGACAGTGAGAACAATTAACCAGTGGAACAACTTGCCTGCCGAAGTCATGAATGCTCCCTCACTGGAAGTTCTTTTTTTTTTTTGGTAAAGTTTTTATTTTTTACAACAAACATACAAACAAAACATAAAAACATAAAACCATCTTTCAATTATATACATACAGTCTGTCAGTTGGTTACAATCTTTTGTGCTATCCTTTTTTTTTTGCCATTACTCACAAGTTGTATAAATTCTCACCTTATCAATCTAACATGCGCTTATGTAATATCAATTATTAATCATTCATTTGACTAAACTATTTTTCCATCATTCTATACGAGATATTCTAAATTTCATTATGATTTAATCTTATACATTCATCCAATGGTTATGTATTTTATATTGTATTCTGTATCAATCTATTAACTCTTATTGTAAAGCTTCCTAATCTATTTCTTTACCATGTCTTTTTATCTAACCATTGATAAAATAAAACCAAACTGGAAGTTCTTAAGAAGAGACTGGTCTGAAATGATATAGGGCCATGGTGGCGAACCTATGGCACATATGCTACAGGTGACACCCGGGGTGGGATTCTACCAGTTTGCACCTATTCGCTAGAACCGGTTGTTAACATTCTAAGCAGTCCGGAGA